AAAAAAAAGAAAGTCTTATCTCCAATTAACCACCAAAAAGCTAGAAGTGGAGCTGTGGCTCAAATGATAAAGTGCTATCTTTGAACAAAGAATGACAGGGACAGCAACTAGGCCCTGAGTTTATGACCCAAGATCTACACTAAATAAATAAATAAATCCCAATGGAAACTAAATTAGAATATTCTGAAATATCTAAAGATACAGTATTACACTAGATGATAAAAGAATTTATGGAAGAACAAAGAACTAGAAATCAATACCAAAATTTATACTTTTAGCTAAGGTGACTATAGTTTAGGTGATTTTTTTTGAATTTTTGCATATCTTGATCTTCTAAATTTTCCATAATGAAAATTACAATAGTATGAATACTTAAGAGTTTCATTTCTAGCCAGGAACCAGTGGCTTATGCCACTATTACTCAGGAGGGTGAGACCTGAGGATTGCTGTTCAAAGCCAGCCTAGATAGGAAAGTCTATGAAACTCTTATCTCCAATAAACCATCAGAAAACTGGAAGTGGTGCTGTGCCTCAAGTGGCAGAGCACTAGCCTTGAGCTGAAGAGCTGAGGGACAATGCCCAGGCTGAGTTCAAGACCCATGACCAACCAAAAAAAAAAAAGTTTCATTTTTAAAAGAAAAGTTTAAGAATTATTAACATAACAAACTTTCAACACACAATCCCCCCCCCAAAAAAAGACAGAAGTAGCAGGGAATATTTCTAGAAAGAGACCCAAGAAATTTAACAGTATTATCTGTAAAGAATGAAAATGGGGTTGGAGACCTCTAGATTGGTTAAGTTCAAAGAAAACAAAAGCATTAGTCTCTAGCCTGAACAGCTTACATGTATTTTGGAAAGAGTACTTGTGACACAGTCACCTAAGGTGTCTCCCCACTCAGGGCTCCCAATACACTGGGCAAGTGCTCTACTACTGAACTAGAAACATCCCAACCCCTTTGTATATTTTTGAAACAGGGTTTCCACTAAGTTACCCAGGCTAGCCTCAAACTCATTATGTAGCCTAAGCTGGTGTCAACCTTAATCTTCCTGCCTCAGCTTCTTGAGTACATAGAATTACATGTCTGCACCACCACACCTAGTATGTAAGTATTTTGTTGGTTTTTACATTATTGTTAGTTTTTAAATTAGCCTCATTTAGTGCATTTAGACTAGGATAATGATCTGAGCATAGTGGTGCATACCTGAAATCCCAGCACATGGTGGGCAGCAGCAGAATTGTAAGGCCAGTTTGCACTGGCCTTAAAAGACCATGCCAGGACACTATACTCCCTCCAAAAAAAAATAAAAAAGAAGCTGGGTGCCAGTGTCTCAAGTCTATATCCGTAGTACTTGGGAGGTTGAGAGTGGAGGATTATGGTTCAAGGTCAGTCCAGGCAAAAAAGTTTGTGAGGCCCCCTTCCCAACCCATACCTATCATGTTAAACAAACTACATGGGAGACTGAGATTAGGACTGTTATGGTTCCAAATCAGCCCAGGCAGAGAAGTCAGGAACACTCCATCTCTATGGAGAGAAGGTGGATATTGGTGGCATGTACCTCTCATTTTCAGCAGTGATAGGAAATTTAAAACAGGTGAATCATGTTTCGAGTGGTGGAAGGGGGAGACACACCTAGATAGAAAGCAAGACCCTGTCTTAAAGAATAACTGAGAATAGGGCTGGAGCTGTGGCTCAGTGATAAAGCACCTGCCAGCCCTGAGGTTAAACATGAGTACCATTTAAAAAAAAAAAATAGAAAAAACAAACTTACCAAACAAGATCTTATGAACTTCAAGTATGTCTTTTTGCTTTGAGCTGCCATCCTTAATCAATTCTTCCATATTATTAAATAGACTACTCAGATTTTTACCAAAAATATCCTGAGCTTCGGCATTGTATTGGTCGATTGCCTTCTTACGATCCAGTTTAGAATGAAGACCACATACATCTTTTGTAGTTTCTTCAACTGTGCTAAGCAACTAAATGAAAAATTTTAAAATTAACAATGACAAGATAGAAAGATAGACAATTTAATGAACACCTTATCTCCCCTCCCCTAACAACCTATGCAAGGCAAAAAGATTTTTCAGGGGCTGGGAAGGTGGCTCAGTGGTAGAGTGCATGCCTTGCATGCACGAGGCCCTGGGTTTGATTCCTCAGCACCACATAAGCAGGAAAAAAGCTGGAAGGGGTGCTGTGGCTCAAGTGGTAGAGTGCTAGCCTTGAGCTGAAGAACTGAAGGACAGCACCCAGACCCAGAGTTCGAGCCTCATGACCAACAAAAACAAAAACAAAGATTTCTCCAAAAATTTTCATATCATGTTTTACCCCTGCCTCAAAAGCATATCTAATATAAAATTCAATAGTTCCATCATTAAAAGGTACTAAATTCTTTATGACTATTGAATTTTAATTGTCACCACAAAGGAAAATTATTATAAAATGAAAACGCATTTATAATGCAACAACAAAACAGTTGCATTCTATTTTCAAAATTCCAAGAGTAGGTTTGTTTATGAAGACTTTACATACCATAACTACAACTAATAAGAATCACTATCTATGTATAGACATTTTACAAAAAAGAACCACAGGCATAGTTTTTTCAGCATATGCAGCTGATCATCTGCTGGAGTTGTCTTGGTAGCTTGGTTCCCAGGATGTTGATGTATGGTTTACATAGTAGGAATGAAGCCCCTGGATACTAGATTTGTATTTTATTATACTAATAATTCACTCTAAGGGTACAGATGGGGCTAGCCAAAGGGGCCTGATCTTCTTGCCAGCCCCCTTCCATCTAAATCTTCTGGAGTCCCTTTATTCTTTTTTTTTTGCCAGTCCTGGGGCAAAACTCAGGGCCTGGGCACTGTCCCTGAGCTTCGTTTGCTCCAGGGTAGCACTCTACCACTTGAGCCATAGCACTGCTTCTGGCTTTTTGTTTATGTGGTACTGAGGAATGGAACCCAGGGCTTCATGGGTGCTAGGCAAGCATTCTACCACTAAGCCACATTCCCAGCCCTCTCCTTTTTTACTTAATTCACTAACTCCAGTAATGAAAAAAGAATGAAATAGTAAAAAATAGTGTTGTTTAAAATTGTAAGACAGGAGCTGGGAAGATGGCTCAGTGGTAGACTGCTTGCTTTGCATGCCTGAGGCCCTGGGTTCGATTCCTCAGTACCACATAAGCAAAAAGAAAAAAGCCAGAAGTGGCGCTGTGGCTCAAGTGTTAGAGCGCTAGCCTTGAGCTGAAGAGCTGAGGGACAGCGCCCAGGCCCAGAGCTCAGGCCCTACGACCAGACCAAAAAAATAAAAAATAAAATAATAATAAAATTGTAAGACAATCATTTGAAATAATTAAAGAAAATACCACAATTAACAAAGTAAATTTATTCATACCCATCCATTATGATTATCAGGGCTTTCTGCTTGCTAAGCAAGCAGTTAAGCCACATCTCTAGCCCTTTTTGTTCTGGTTATTTTTGAGATAAAGTCTTGCTTTGTCCCTGTGTCAGTCTGGACCTTGAACTTCCTACTTTCTGCTTATCTAGGATGATAGTCACTGAGTAAGCTCAACTTCTTCCATTGAGATGGGGATCTCTGTCTAGGCTGGCCTGGAACTGCAATCTCCAGCTCAGTGGTGTAGTTGGACCAACAGGTATGTTCTCTGCCTCCAGCTATGAACTAGTTATGTTGGTGTCTCACAGAGTTTTTGCCAGGCAGTCCTGGAAACCTAATCCTCCCAATCTCTGCCTCCAAAATAGTACTACTCAGGTAACAGCCCACAGTACCAGGGCCATCCTTTATTTAATATATTACAAAACAAAACAAAGGACAAACCTGGCTGGCAACATCATGAAGTTTCTCTTCAGTACTTTCCAAAGCAGAAGAGACATATTCTTCTTTAACAAGCTGTAATTTAGTTTCTTGCAGATGTTTCTGAGTGGTTTCAAGTTCCTGTGTCTTATTTTGCAGTTCAGATTTACATTGGTCAAGTTCATTTTTATTGTCCACAAACAACTCTGTAACCTACATATAGTACATTAAGCATTTCTTTAAGAATTGAAAGTGTTAAAATGGTTAGTCAGACACCTGACTAGTTCATAATATACTAGGAAAAAAGAACAAATTATTCTCATATTAAAATGGTCACAAGTTACCAGACAGGTTAATAACATATTTTATGTAATATCTGGTTTCTTTCTATAAGCTTATTCAAAACTTAGAGAATTACATGTCAACATAGTACTATTATTTCTTCAGATCCTGCCACTGTCAGTAGATCTGTACCACAAAGGTGTTAATGTGAGGATGGCATCAAAGTTCAAATCATTGACTAAGCTAGACCTAGCTATTACTTTTATTAAACACCTAGTTTCTCCCAAAACCTGTATTCCTTCATGTAACAAACATGTTATCAAAAAGGCCTCGGTAATGACACTTCCAAGCTTTAACAACAAAACCTCACAATCCAGTAAGATATTTGTCATGTAATGATGCCTCAGTCAACAACAGATTATATATACAGCAATGGTCCCACAGATAATAATGGAACCTGGAGTTAGGAGTATAGTTCACTCATACAGAGCTTGTCTAGCATGCCCTAGGTTTAAATTCCAGCAAGGCCAAGAGGAAAGAAAAACTGAACTTATAATGGAGATGAAAAATTCCTATCACCTAGTGATGCCACAGTGGTTATAAAGTAGTACTACGTCTTACCCATGTTTGTGGTAATGCTAGGTAACCAAGTCTACTGTGCTGCTCATTATGTAAAAATGTAACATACAGCTGGGCACTAATGGTTCACTGTAATCCTAGCTATTCAGGAAGCCAAGATCTTAGGATCTTTTTTTTTTTTTGGTCAGTCGTGGGGCCTGAACTCTGGGCCCGGGCGCTGTCCCTCAGCATTTCAGCTCAAGGCTAGTGCTCTACCGCTTAAGCCACAGCACCACTTCCAGCCTTTTCTGCTTATGTGGTGCTGAGGAATCGAACCCAGGGCCTCATACATGCAAGGCAAGCACTGTACCACTGAGCCACCTTCCCAGTCCAAGATCTGAGGATCTTGTCTAAAGTCAGCCTGGGCAAGAAAGTCCATAAGACTCTTATCTCCAATTAACTACCAAAAAGCCAGAAACAGAGCTGTAGCTCAAGTGATAGAGCACTAGCCTTGAGCAGAAAAGGTCATGGACAGAACCCAGATCCCCTGAGTTGGAGCTCCATGACTAACAAAAATAAAAAAACTAAACACATAACTTACATACAGACCATAATACTGAGAACAACAAATGCCACTGACTCAGATATTTGCTATATTGTACATTTTAGAGCATACTCCTTCTACTTAAGGAATAGGAGCTGAGAACCAGCCTCAGCAGGCCCTTCAGAAATTAAAGAAGAGAAGGCTCAGGCTCGTGTGTGGCACCCTGAAGACATTCCCATTGAGACAAGATGGGAGGTGGAAGTCAGGGATAATATGTATGTTTGCACCTTAGCAAACATACTTTTTTTTTTTTCTTCAGAGGATTGAACTCAGGGCCTTGTACTTGCCAGGCAAGTGTTCTTCCACTGAGCTAAATCCCCAACCTTTGCACCTTAGCTTTTAAAAAGTTTAAAAAGTGGGGGGGGGGGCTGGAAATTTGCTTAAAATGGTAAGAGTGCTTGCCTAGCATTCATGAAGCCCTGGATTTGATTCCTCAGCACCACATAAACAGAAAAAGCCGGAAGTGGCGCTGTGGCTCAAGTAGTAGAATGCTAGCCTTGAGCAAAAAGTTCAGGGACAGTACCGAGGCCCTGAGTAAAAGCCCTAGGACTAGCAAAATGTAAAATTAAATTTAAAAAAATAAAATAAAAAGTTTAAAAATGATATCCTAGACATATAGTAGGCTCATGCAGTGTGCTCTGATGATGAAATCACCTAGCAACACATTTCTCAGAACATATCCCAGTCATTAAATGGCATCTGACTGTAATTCTGGCAATGTATTCATTCAAGTGTCAAAGCCTTTTCATCATCATTAATGGGTGTAAAATTATGATACAACTTTTGTTCAGTATGAGAGTTGGCAAGAAAGAAAATCCTTAAAGAATGTGTCAGATCTCTAGCATCCTAAAATTTTAATATTTGCTTTTCTTATAATATGAAATTTTGCTTTGAATGCTTACCCTACTTAGCTCCTCTTCAAGAGCACCAATTTTTTCAACCAATTCAACAATCTGTTCTTCTTGAACAGTTAATTTTCCATTCATGACTCTAGAATGAAATTTAAGTTAGTAATTGTTCTAAATCCAACAAAATATTTCACAGAGAATTACAGCAATTACACAAACTCTTTTCTACCCTTATGATAATTATGACAACAACACAATCATTGGTGCTGTGGAACAATAAATGCAAATGACACAGGACAAATGAACTGACAGTCTTTGTTTTATAAATGGATTGGTTTTTTTCCTTTTGACTCCATTCTGACACTAAGAATCCCTACTGAGGGAAAAGTGTGTGTATATTAAATCCGAGTAGCTAAATTGGGGGCAATAGCTCAGTGGTAGGACATTTGCCTAACATCACCAATAAATAAATAAATAAATAAAAATTAAAAATACTTCTTTTTAGAGCTAGAAATCTGATAGAAAATTAAAATTCACTTAAAGTAGTGATGGGGACAGGAAGACACAATCTGAGCATCTATAATCAGGGCTATGAAAAAAAGATAAAGATGCCCCTGGTCCCCAAATGCTAGAAAGGCTTAAGACTTGAAGGTATGATGTACTGCAAAAGGAAGGGGTAAGATAAGCAGCTGAAAATACTTGGAGGTCTGAATTAAAGTAAGTACACAAAGCAATATTGCCTCACAACACCTGCATGTAATGCCTTCCCAATACTAACACAACTATCACACTACCACATAAACCCTAGGCAATCAAAAAAGGGTTATCTCTAAAGCAGACCTTCTCAGCCTCCGCACCAATGACATTCTGAGGATATCCTGTGCATATTAGGAAGTTTAGTAATAGTGTTCATCTCTCTCTGTACTAGATGTCACCAAGTAACTCCATCTCTACAACTATAATCACCAAACAAAAAAAGGGCTGGAGATGTGGCAGCCCAGCCCACCTCTTCCCCCCCCCCCATACACACTTTAACCAGAGTGGCCCACACCTATATTTCTAGCTACTGGAGAGTCCAAAATTAGTAACTCCGTCTTTACAACTATAGTCACCAAACAACAAAAGGGCTGGAGATGTCGCAGCCCAGCCCCTCCCCCCACCACACACACTCATTTTAACCAAAGAGTGGCCCACACCTATATTTCTAGCTACTTGAGAGTCCAAAATTGGAAGGATCTCAATTCAAGACCATTCTGGATAAAAAAAAAAAAAAAAAAAAGTTAGTGATAACCCCATCTTAATCAATAAAAACCTATTTGTCCTAGCAGCTATGTGGGCAGCATAAATAGGAGATCACAGTCGAGGCCTGAAAGGGCAAGACCAGACCCTACTGAAAAATAAAGCAAAAATGACTGGGTATGTAACTGAAGTGATAAGGCACCTACCTAGCAAGCACAAGGCTCTGAGTTCAAACACCAGTACAAACCATCTCTTGCCCACAAGTCTGAATATGCTGGGTTTCCTCTAGGGGGCAACCTTTTCCTATTCCTGAAGCCACTGTCCATAGTAACAACATGAGAAATTCCAGCTTCCCTTTCATTAACTACATATACAATGGAGGGTATAGAAGTAAGATCTGGAAACAGCCATCTGAGTGAAAATCTACGTAGTGAATGGTGGGATCCTCAGTCCTTATATAGCTCCTCTAATCCATTATCATAGGCCAGAGTAATGTGGAAGCAAAAAGACCTTAACTAAGATTATTGATGGAAGCCCAGACTAATACTTTTTCTACCCTATAATAAACCTATTAAGTCTATAAAATACACATACACATGCTCTAATAAGCATGCTACAGCAAATTGAGAAGAGATGATAATGGATATCCCAAAGAAAAGGGAAAAAAAGAAAAATTCAATAGCAATATAACTTTTCTGAGCTAAAGACTTTTATGTGTAATAGTGCTACATATTTATAGGGTGGGGAAGAAAGCCTTTGAAAACAAAAATTTGATAGTAAAAATAAAATTCAACAAGATAGTAAAAAAATTATTAAAAGTAGAATAAAATCAAAGCATCATCAGCTTTTTTTTTTTTCTGTGGGTCGTATGGCTTGAACTCTATGCCTGGGCTCTGTCCCTCAGCTCTTCAGCTCAAGGCGAATGCTCTACCATTTCAGCCACAATGCCATTTCTGGTTTTCTGAGTGGTTTATTGGAGATAAGAGTCTCATGGACTTTCCTGCCCAGGCTGACTTTGAACCTCGATCCTCAGATCTCAGCTCCTGAGTAGCTAAGATTACAGGCGTGAGCCACTGGTGCCCAGCATCATCATCTTTTTTAACCACAAAACATGCAGTCTTTCCAGAATGACTTTAATGAGACTCTTCAGTATTATATCCATACCTTGTCTCAACAAATACAAAAACAAAAACAAAATAAATGAACAACTGAAAAATATTCTTGAAAATCAACTCTATAGCCAGTAACTTACTTAAAATTTTCTTCAGAAATATATACTCCATTTTTCTCCCGGGCTGCAGCAAGATCTCGTTTCAGACGCTCTATCTCTTCTGTATACTCCTATACAAGAGGAACAGTGTAGATGTTAAGTTAGTATTTTTTAAAAATTCAGTTTGGGAAGCATATGCAACAAATAAAGTTAGCCTTTTATGGCTTTTACCTCAAATTAAAGGCATAATAAAAGTTTCAAATTGCAACAAGACGTTATGTCGAAAAATGAACTTTACAACTTTGGGCGAGGGGGAGAATGGGAAGGGGTAGGAAGGGAAAACAAAGGAGGAGGCAACAATGCTTGGTAAGAAATGTACTCATTACCTTGCCCATGTAATTGTAACCCCTCTGTA